ACTGTACAGATTTGCAAGCTCATGCACACCTATCATATAGAACATATCATCATGTAGTCAAATTCACTTTGTCACTTCTGTATGCAGAGAGGTAAAAAACTTAGATTTAAATGACAGAAGAAAGTCAAAAGAAAAATGTATTTCAGGCCTAGAAATATATTACAAAGGTTAAGGCACATGCCTTTCATGTGGCAAATCCCTATCACCACATACACTTCCCTGAGCACTACCAGGAGTGATTCCTAAGCAGAGTCAAAAGTAATCCATAAGCACTGCTATATGAGGTAAAAAGAACTCTCAAAAGACAAATTTTACTCAATGGCATGTCAGAATTAAATGAAATTCAAATTTCAGTGTTCGTATACTTTTAATGTGACACAGTTGTCCCCATTAATTTATATATTTTCCAGGATTTCTTTCCTGTTACAAAGGCAGAGTTGAATGGTTTATGACCATATGTCATGCAAATCCTAAAATGTTTGCTACCTTAAAATTTACATAGAAAGATTTGAGGATTACTGACTTAATGTCTGCCTTCAACATTTAAGAACATCAAAGACCAATGAAAGGTAACGGATCTCTTTAAAAGATCTAGGGTTTAGGTCATCTGGCTCCATCAACCCTTTGTTCAAAGATCGGCTCTGGTTAAACTGCAAGCAGAACCTCCTAATAGAGTTAATCTCCCCCTGGGAATTGTTATTTGAAAAGCTGTATAGTGAAAACATGTTGAAAAGCACCAAAAACTCTGCAAGACTCTAAATAAGAAGCAACATTCAATTCCATATGAGTTGAAGTGGGTAAGAGGATTTAAAGGACAGAGAGAGTTCAGGGAGGGTTCACTTAGATTTCTTCCCTCACAAGTATTTGGGGTGAGAAAGAGAATCAAAGCCATACTTATAGAAAATTTGCCAAGGATACTAAATTGGGACATAATGTAAACATCAGTTAGGATGGTGTAATTCTTTGAGTTTAGAATGTAAACTAGAGTTTCAATTTTATGATGTGTATCCAACAGTGCTCCATGTGTACAAAACAAATGGATCAACAATCTTCACCATTTTACTAGAAAATGTCTGAAAATAGTAAATTCTTGAGCACATAATGTACATGATGAATTAATTAATCTTCTTTGAAACATGATGAGGTGGAGATTGGGATTCATATCCTGATTTTCCAGATGAGAAAATGGAAAAGAAAGGAACTTATTCAGCTGGAGGGAGGGGAATTTTGAAGTCCTGAGTATTAACACAGCCATCCACAGTGCACTCTCTCATCTGGCTCTATCCCAACTTGAAGATTGTTTTTTGTTTGTTTTTTAAACAAATGGGAAGGAGTACTTACAATATTGTAGGAAGACAAAGCCAAAAATGCATATAGGTACAAATTTATGTATGCTTATTAAAATAATAGTGTGTCTGTTTATAATTTGTAGAATTTTCAGAAAAATGTGTATACAGAAAGGTGTATATCTACTTTAATACATTTATTTTATATAGAAAGAAAACTGAGGTCCAAAGGAGAAACATTATAACCCTCTGGTTAAACCCCTAACCCAGTATATGACCAATACATTTCATTGACTTTATTACTTCATACAATATCCAACATGCTTTTCCCTTCTGCCTACCATTTATTCCACTCCCACCAGTCAAATAATTCTCCTTATGACTGATTTTAACTCATAGCCTATTCTTTCAACCACATCCCCCCACATTTACTTTTACTGTTTCCATCAACCAGATTTACTGATATTATCTCTATGTCTTAGTATCATTTTTATCTCAAAATACACATATCCTTCTCTGACTAGCCTCACCCTCACAAAACCTCTCAGCATTACTAACAATGATAAAATATGGGGATATTTAACCTTCTTCCTTCTCGATAGAAAACCTGGCTAGATTACAATCAATTCTGTTCTGAGCCCTGCACAAATGACAGCATTAAAACCTCATGCTTTATGAACTACCAAAGCTAGAAATGGATTTCTGTCTGACATGCCAGGCTTTTAAATCTTGTACTTGTGCCCAGTACAGAGTTTTCTGAAACCATCAATAAAGTGGTAATCAACACTGAATACTTATTCTGAGTTAACTGACAATAACAAACAAATAAGAAAGAGAAAGATTTGTGCTCCAACTATTTCAAAGGTGATATTCCAAGTTTAAACAAGAATTTTAAGCTTCAAAAGGCCATTTTAGAGATAAAAATCTATTGCAAACTTGAAAAGACGAATCAGTTAGTTTTCTTCTGGGGGTAATAAGACAACTCCCTGCCTTCATACAGAAATAATTACAGCAGCAAACTCCAGCTATCCAGCTTTACCAGTGAGAGGATAAAGAAAACAACAATATGGTTTTTTGCTTTGTATTTTTAAATATTTTTTGCTATCCCTCAACAGCTCAGAACTGGAACCTGAAATCCATAAAGCAAAGAGGGTCCTAGCATAAAATCTTGCCTTATCCAGTGGTTAATTTTCATATTTAGGCATTAAAGGGCATTTAGCATCATCTGATCAGAAGCTAATTTTCTTAGCAAAATCTGTGAATTTAGATTATGAAGTGTTTTATGATCTTTCTGGATTTCTGTAGGTCAATTGAGAAACCATCCTCAACTCTTTTTTTCCATAATCTCAAATGACCCATGTTTTACTTCATACTCTTTCCAGGCCAAACTTTCAAGACTGCTTTCTGTCTTCTCTTTCTTCCTGTTTTATAATGTTTTATAATCTCATATGAAATATCCTATTACAGCAAAACTTCCCTTTTTACAGTGTGACTGATCATTTACCAGGATTTCTGAAAACAACAAATTTATAATGCAGATTTGTAAGAGATAGCATCTAGTACAATCTAATTTATTGAATTTTTAGACTTGTTCACTAACATATGTGTCCCTTCTGCTATGGATACTATTGATTGTTGAATATATACACATATGCATGTTTTGGGGCTACATCCAGGCGTTCTCCTAGCTCTACACTCAGGACTCACTTCTGGAGGGGCTTACTGGACCATATGGAGTGTGGAGATTGGCTATGTGCAAGGAAAATGCTCTTTACAGTGTTTACTATCACATCAGCCGCAACTCTCTGACAGAAGAGGGTGTGGAGAAGAAGCGATTTATCCCCAGGGAAGCTGTGATCATCTACATTTTTTAGAGATGATGCTCACTTCCTTTTGTGATTAGTACTGTTATTAGTTATTAGTACTGTTCATTAGTACTCTTAAGAAAGAAAGGCAAAACTCTGTGTCTCTTCCCAAACTATGCAGACCTAGATCCTGGTGTCCTGAATTCCACACTATTACAGTGTAATCAGTAATAGTGAAGAAGTTGAGTAGCATAACATGCAATATGTTTTTAATTAATAGTAAGTAACAGTAATTTCTTTGTTGCTTTGATGACTGGATAAATGAAAGAACTATTTTATAGGTTTTCTTGCCATCCAGTAAACATATTTTAAAAATTACTATCAATTCTATTTGGTTATCAGTGAGGGATCCAATTAAAGGATACATACATTATACTTGTTCCTAGATATCAATTTCTATGGTGCTTTTGTTGCCCTCCAGTGGGTATCATCATGTTCCTTCTGAAGGAAGGAACACATCTACCACATTTAAAATGCCCGTGGAAGCCTGCCTGAAGTGCTGGGGGAGAAGGCAGTTGGGATCAAGAAGGAAATACTATGACAATGATAGTTGTAAATGCCGAAAGTAGGTAAAGGAACAAAATGATAGCCTTGTCAGTATCTCTATTACAAACCATAATGACCAAAAGAAGGGTGGAGGAAGTGCCTACCATAAAGACAGGATGGGGGTGAGGGAAGGGGTGGTGGGAAGGAAACTGGGAACATTGGTGGTGGGAAATTTACACTGGTGGAGGGATGGATTTTGGAACACTGTGAGACTGAAACTCAATAATGAACAGCTTTGTAACTGTGTATCTCACAATGATTCAATATTAAAAAGAATGCCCTCTGGCATTTAGGCCATACACATAAATGCAAATCAGAATGTTTTAATGTTTTAGTTCTGACTAGCAACTCAATACTTCTAAGCTAGTTAATAAGAAGAAAGGAAGAGTATTTCTGGGAAGTACTTCCTTTGTGGAAAGTTGGACAGGAGTGAATACCAATAATTGTTTCTGCTCCCAGATCAACCTGTCTAGAGGCTGCTCATCAGTGTCACTTCATAAAAGAATTCCTTAATAGAAGGTGGTAAATGAAGTAGGTAAGTAATGGAAAATAAATCATTAGCATATACAAGAGGTCTATAAATGGGAGTTACTGCTATACTATGTGGTTGAGCACTTTTGAGGACTCAGCAGACATGACCTGTTTTCACTGAAGAGCTAAGGACTTTACCCCACTTAGGCTAACATAAGGTAAATCTTACTGTGAATTCTGGACCAAAAGATGAGTGCTGAAGTCATCAATCTTAATAAAAGAACAAAAGTTTCTCATCATTCTGTGTCCTTATCTATCTAGGAACTATTAATGCATAGATGTTCCAAGAAAGCAGCAGTAGAAGGGAGCAGGTGCATTGGCTGATAGTCAGCTGAACAGTCAGATCACTTCCTTTCTCTGAAGTTTCACATTTACCACACAGTATAGGATGGGGATTCAGTTGGGGCCTATGCACAATCTCTCCACTAAGAGCATTTTCCCTCACTAGGCAGAAGAGTGTAGGCAGAAGAGTGTAATACAAGAAAGGAGGAAATTAGATCTTTTCAAGTCATTAATATTATCTTAATTACTAGGCCCCACCAAGATCCAAGCCCCACCTGGGACCACCTTCATTATGTGCATTGCCTATACTATCAACGCTACTGAATTCACAGAATCAAAATGTTTCTTAAACTTATGGGTTTCCTAAGAGGGCTCTTCCAGTGACCCTGTCCCTGAGATGGTAAAATCCTGGGATCTATAAAATTACTATCTCTCTAAATAGAGAGCTAAGAATAAAGGTGAATAGTAGTGTGTGTGCATGACTCTTTACCTTCAGCAGCTCTTTTAAAGAATACTTTGCAGCTTCCACAAGTGAGAGCTCCATAGTGACAACCAGAAGCTTCATCTCCACAGATCAGGCAGGTTTTCTGGGGTGGAAAGTAATAGTCGATGGGCAGAACGTGGTCCCTGGTAGTTTCCAAACTGGAAATACATAAAATAAACAAATAAATACATGTCAATGGGTGGTAGAAATAAGAGGGTAGAAGCCTGAAGTTTTCAGGAGTAAACTGCATGACTTATACACTGGGTTAGTGGAATAACTGTGTAGGTGAGTATTCCTGGGACTTTAAACTATCTAGAAATGATTGTAGGGTTTCAGTGATGTGGATAGAGAGAGTTTGGATCTTACTAGGGGATTAGAAAGTTATCTGGGCTCAGGTAGTCTCATGAACTCTGTCTACTTGATGAAAAAGGAAGGTAGAAAACTGACATTAAGATTTATAACTTCTGGGCTGGAGCGATAGCACAGCAGGTAGGGCGTTTGCCTTGCACGCGGCCGACCCGGGTTCGATCCCCAGCATCCCATATGGTCCCCTGAGCACTGCCAGGAGTAATTCCTTAGTGCAGAGCCAGGAGTAACCCCTGTGCATTGCCAGGTGTGACCCAAAAAGCAAAAAAAGAAAAAGAAAAAAAGATTTATAACTTCAGGTGGTGGTCAGGCAACAATTTCAGAGCAATTAAGACTATGGACATAGTGTCTATCTAAAAGGCAAACTATGACCATACCATAAAAAACACAAGTGCAGTTTAATGTGCTTTCTTCTGCTTCTATAAGATTTTAACCTCTAAAATAAAAAAAATAACCATTCAATTGAGTGCTGCTGTTATCAGTGACAGCATGGCTCAGACGAAAGAATAGAAATCCTTTGAAATAAACACACATGTGAGGAATTAAGATGTTCAAAGTGGTTTCTGGTCCTGTTAACCGTTCCCTCACTTTCTCTTTGTATCTCGATATTACAAGGATATCCTCACACCCATTTCATAGCAAAAAGTAGCAGAATCTCTAAGCCTGAGGCTTTTGTTGAGAAATTATACAGTGTGATGCTGAAAATTTGTCAGATTACCATTTTAACAGTTCAATGCAAAATATTCATAGGTTCCTGGTCCGGGATGGAGTTTCAGTCGTCACTGTTGGATTATAATTTTAAACATTTTAGGTTTAACACTGGTTCATCCTTTCTTTGTCCTTTCTCCTCTGCCGCAAGATTAGATTTATTGAGTTACACGGATCACAGTGCTCCTGAGGCACTTCCATTCCTTTAAGTTTATCTTTAACTTCTCCTCTGTGCTCTGCTTCCCCTATATGTTAATGACCTATATCCCTAAATCAGACCCTGTGACTTGTAAAGTCACATTCCTCTAAGGACTCTGGACTTTGTAGGTGAAATATTGCTTTTCCTTTTCCCTTATTTCCTTTGCACAGTTTACTTAATTTTTTCCCTTTTTTATTGAATCACTGTGAGATACAGTTACAAAACTTTCATGTGTGCGTTTCAGTCATCCAATGATCAAATACTCATTCCTCCACCAGTGCACCTTATCCACCAACAATGTCTCCAGTATAACCCCCGTGTTTAACCCTCCCCCTGCCTCCATGACAGACAATTCCCCCCATATTCTGTCTGGACTTTTGGGTATTATGGTTTGCAATATAGGTACTGAGAAGCCATCATGTTTGTTTGGTCCTTTATCTACTTTCAAGCACAGTTTACTTTAGAGCAATGTCCTTTTTGTACACACAGGAAGACAGTTAATGCTAGGCTTTTGTAAGGTGGGAGTTAATTGACTCCTAGTAATATTTACTCCTGGGCATCAGTAATATTTACTTAAAACTTCATTGCTCTTAGTTCCTAACACCGAAAAAGGAGGGGCCCGATGAAGGGACTTGTGTGGACCCAAAGTAAGCTGTAAGCTACCCTGTCATCAAAATGGGACAGGCTACGCACCATAAAACTTATAATAAGAGCATGGTCATGGAAAAATTCTGTCATGAACCAAAGAGAAACAACTGGATAAGGACCCTGCTGGGGATAGGAAGAACTAATTTAGCCTGAGGACTATAGTGTGGGATCTATAGTGAGATGTCCCCAAGAGAGTCACCCTTTAAGCTTAATAAATCTCTTACTGTGTCCATACAAAATGACTAATATTATTGACAAGTAGAATTAAGATGGACCTTTTAAAATGTTATTGAACTAAGGTAAGGAGAAATACACTCCTAGATGGTATTTTGCCCTTACACGGATCACCTTTCTGGATGAGAATTTGTCCTAGAAGTAGCTTTCCCCGAGGGAAGAACTTTACATCTGTTGATTGCACAATCACATCTATATGTAATTTCTACCCCCAACCCATCATGATTTGCTCTATAACTAAAGCTGTGAGAATGGGCACGGGGAGACAGAATACGGGCAGTGGGTGAGACTGGAAGGAGGCAGAGGAAGACTAGATTGGAATAAAAGGTGACTGATCATCAACTAGCATGGCCCTCATTTCCCCCTTTGTTCACCCATTATCATCAGCTGTCCAGGGTGAGGGAAGCAGCTCCAGACCACCGAAGGCACGTGGTGAGTGCCCACACACTTTTTTTTGAACACAAACAGGTCACTTCATCTAGCTGCCTATTTTCAGGATCTGTGTCTTTTTCCAAATAGATATTATGGAGAAGGACACAAAGGTTACTTCTAAACCCAGTTTAAGAGTAATTTTCCATCTCCCATGGGTTAGTAATTCAAGTTTAAACAAATGGAGTTTGTTTACAAATGGAGTAATTCTTATTATACAAAGATAAATATTTTCTGAATTCCTATATCGCATGTCTATAATGATTAAGGAATGCTTTCTCATATTCTCATCCACAGAAGTCAAGTCATTATATATTATGAGTATTTATTCCTAAACGGCAGTCAGCTTGATGTCTTAGATTATTTCAATACTTCAAATTCACTATTTGTGACCAATTTCGTTTTTGTTATTATCAGAAGAAGCCCACATTCACAGAATCCTATGTGACCCCCAGACAGGATATTTGAACTCAACAGTTTCTATTTTATTATTATCTACTTGTTATTCAGCTTCAATTTCCACCTATTACTCTTTGGTTATGCACGTCAGTTACTAGCACACAAATAAAGCAAGGAAATTTACTCTTCCCTCAAGCCCTATGAAAAGTCATGGCAGGTCAATAGGAAAGAAAACTTTCACTCAAGCTACACTGGACAAGCACATTTTAACTATCTCACATCCTCTGGTAGTCTTAGCTCTATGATCTGAATTTAAGGGTTTGGGTTTCCTATGTCCTTTTGCTGTTTTTTTTAATATATTATATATCAATGATAATATATAAAAACATATATCAATGAAATCTTCCAGTAATTATTTCTCCTTTTGACACATTTCAGGTAGAATGGCCCCTACCGTTCTAGTCATGATGTAGCAAAATTTAAAGTCTTATTTTTCTGAATAGTATTCTATTCTTAAATAAGTAGAGGCATAGAGATATTACATATACTCACATGCACACATACACACACTACCACACCAACACTCCTGCCTTTAGTTTTTTGGTTAATCCTTGAAGTAAAATTGATGTACCACAAGGTATATGTAATTTAAAATTCTGAGATACTTATATATTGTTTTCCATAGAGTCTGAGTGAAATTACTTTCTATGACCATTATATGAGTAATCTTTTTCTCTATACTGCCACCAACACTTGTTTTAGCCTTTTTGATATATGCCGTTCTCACTAGCTTGAGATGATAATCTTTTGTCACTTTAATTTTAATTTCCTAGGTGGTGATGACGAACTACCCTCCACATACATCTCTTCATTATAATTTCATCTTACTTTGTTAAGCGAATGTTAAATTCTTCTCCCCATTTTATAGGATTGTTAATATTTTTCTTGTTGAGTTTTAGTACTTCATCATATATTTTGGATATTAGCCATTTATCATATATATAGTGTGGTATATTTTCTCCCATTAAGTATAATGCATTATTTTACGTTTTTAATTTTTTATTTTATAAAAGAATCATGATTACCAAGTAATGTATGGTTATGCTTTAGACATATAATATTCTCACTCTAATTCCACCACTAGTATCTACTTCCATCCACCAGTGTTTCTAAGTTCCTTTCTAAGCCTTCTCCATGTACCCAACAGTCTGTCACTTAAACAACCACATTTTAAAGTTTGATGGCTGTAGTTTGTATGTCATGTTTTCAGTGTTGCTGAATGTGTGGTTTGGATGTACAGCTATACCACTCCTCCACATTGCAGAAGCACATCAGGCCAACGACCCCTGCTCCCCTGACACTACCCTTCATTTTCTTCCCCATGGCTTCCTTTCCTTCCCTGTCTTTATATTCCCAATAATCTACCATTAAGAGTGATCTAGTTATTCCCCCCTTTACTACATTACGTTCCCTTGTCTAGTTACTCTACAGTGTATCCATAAGTGATTTCCTGTATTTGTCATCCTTCTTCTGACTTACTTCAATCAACAGGATATCTTCCAGAAATTGCATGATTTCACCATTGCATTGTCTATAAATACACTATACATACACATAATGGATTTTGAAAATGTATATTGGACACCTAAGTTCATCCTCTATCTTAGCTATTGTACTAATTTCTGCCATAAATAATGGTGTGCATATTTCCTTTTGAATGAATTTGTGTATTGTATGAGAGTTCCTTTTTAACTACATCCCCAACAATACTCAATGTTCCCAATATTTTTGATATGTGCCATTCTTACCAGTGTGAGACGATATCTCATTGTTGTCTTGATTTAGATGTTTCTAACGATAAGTGATGCTGATCATTTTTACATGTGCCTATTGTCCATCTGTTTGCATTCCTCTGGAAAGTCCCTATTCATAACCTTTTCCCATTTCTGATAGGGATTTTGGATTTTTCCATTCATATTTGTGAGTGCTTTATGTATCCTGGATACATAATGTGTTAAGTACTATTATTTTATCCCATTCAGTGAGTATCTTTTAGTTTTAGTTCATATTTCTTTTGTTATGCAGAAACTCTTTAATTTGATGTAGTCCATTTGATTTTTGTTTCCATTGCCTTTGCTAATGACATCATTTCATTAAAGACCCTTTTGAAGTTCA